AAATCCTGCAGGGCCCTGATCTCACATGGGAGCTCATTCCATCAGGTCAAGGCAAGTCAGACGTCCCTGGGGCCGGGGACCACCAAAAGATGTTGGTTGGTGGACCTCAGTGCCCTATGAAGCTCATATGGGTAGGGGGGGAGCTTCCATGGTACGAGTTGGGATGTTGGTTGGTGGACCTCAGTGCCCTGGTCTCCCATAGTCCAACACTCTTAACCATTATACCACACTGCAGGGGTCATTTCATAGAAAAAGAGGTGCAGGAGCTCATTAGCATAACTCATTAGCATAACTTATTTGCATATGCCACACCCCCTGACATCACCGGAAGTGTGTCAGAAGGCAACACCCACTGCTCAGGCTCCACTGGACTTTTTTGGATGGCTAGCTATTGGGGGGGGTAATGTGCAGGTCTGTCCTTGCAGAGGAGGGAGAGCTTGTACCTGAATAAAACCTGGTCTTAAAGGTGCCACTGGACTGTTTTGGACTGGGGGAGGGGCTCTGCAATTTACCTGGCTGCTTCTTGCACTGGCTGAGGGCTGCTGGGAGCAGGGGGTGGGGCTTGTTGCATGTGCCCGCCCCCTGGGTTCTTTACTGCCGGAGCTCCGCTCCTGTGCGCTCCTACAGGAAATGACCCCTGCCACACTGGCTCTCTAGCACTGCCTTATAGCATTGCTGAACTGATACCCCACAGAAAGGCAACGGACGTGCTCCTAAGGGTATAAGTGAGCAGGGATTGATTACATTTCAGTTAAGCAGAGGCGACCACCCAGGTATCATATAAGGAAAGATTAAGTACCAGTAGGAGTTAGTTAAAAAAGATCCTCTTTGTATGTTTCAGGATTTGCTAGCTTTGGTGTGCCATCAAAAGAGGATTATTTAGTGATGGATAGCAGGTGTTTGAAGGGGAAAGCATGCTGGGGTTTCCCCCCCCCCCCCCCAGGTTTTAATGGTTTTAACATATGATTGTAGTATGTATGTTTTAATTTGCTAGCCACCGTGGTGGCTCTTGAGAGGGTAGAAAGCCTGGTGCGGCTCTGGGCACTGTGGTGGTGGTAGTGTGTGTGTGTGTGTAGGATTCAGGTTTCCCTTCTGGGTTGTTTTTGCAAGTGAAAACAGCCTGGGGCAAGGGACGTGTGTGTGTCTTTCCTTGGGTGCTGATTGCACGGCATTTAAAAAATGGTAAAGGTAAAGGTTCCCTTGCAAGTAGATAAATAGGTACCACTTCGGTGGGAAGGAAACAGTGTTCCGTGCGCCTCGGCGTCTAGTCATGCTGGCCACACGACCACAGAAATGTCTTCGGACAGCGCTGGCTCTGTGGCTTGGAAACGGAGATGAGCACCACGCCCTAGAGTCAGATTCGACTGACTTTCGAGGAAGGGAAACCTTTACCTTTACTAATGAAGAATTCTAGGTTGCACGGAGAGGTGGCTGTCCATTCCTGGTGGCTGTGACATTACGCAGACTCTACTATGTGATAACTTCGCCACACTGGATCCAACCTCCTTCCTTTCCATTGTGGGGAGATGATAAAAGCTGCTTTGCTCTCTGTGGCTTTGGAGCCGTTTTAAGCGGCTTGTGATTTGCCCGGCTTGTTAATGAATCGGCGTCGATGTCCGTGCAGGCTCTCCAAAATCTCTAGTCGATTTCTTCAGGAGGGCAACCGTGTTGTCATGAGGTAGAAGAGCTGCATTCGGGTCCAGCAGCACCCTAGAGACCAACAACATTTTCGGGGTATAAACTTTTGAGTGTCAAACCTCCCTTCATGAGATTGTTCAAATGCCTATTTCTCTCTAAAGAACAGAAAGCAGCAGGGAATCTGTTTACCTGCCTGAGGGGTCTTAGTAGAAAGCAGTTGATTTCATCTTGTTAACTTGTTTTAAGAAAAATTCCCAAGAAAAGTAATTTACCGGGCGTCTGTGTTTGGGTAGCTACAGTTAGCCTTACAGTCTGTTGCGAAAGAGGCAGCCGCCGCCGTGTGGTTCATACTGCAGGCTGGGAAAAGCTACGTAGAAATATGGGGAGTGTCCTTTCCTGTATCATTTCCAGTATCTTATTTATTTATTATTTATTTATTCTTGGGATTTGTATCCCGCCCTACCCATGAGGCCCAGTTTCATCTGCTTGCTCTCTGTCTCCAGAATTCAGTCCAGGGGTTTCTTCCTCTGTCATCTGTAAATCTGAGTATTGATGGTGCTTGCTAGTAGTTTGGTGTCGTATCTATATTCCTATAAGCATGTAAGAGACAAAGCTCCCTTAATCAGATACAAAACTTTGACTCTCGGAAGCTTACACCCAGTAAAATCTGTTGGTCTTTAAGGTACTACTGGACTCATACCTTGCTCTAAGACTAGACAATGTCCTGGGGAAAAACATGTACCCATAACACTAGACAATTAGGGCACCCATCAGACTGTTGAGGTAGAGATTGACACTGCACACTGTCCCATATCTTCCTATTTTGCTCAGCAAAGTTTGAAGCCTTCCTAAGGCTTAAGGAGCCATTTCCCAAATCAAACAACTCTTATGCTGAAGGAAGAGTAACTCAAGTGGGAGGAAGGCCCCTTATGCCAGAAGAAGGCTTTAAATTTTGATGAGCAGAATGGCAGGGACACAGGCCAGGAGGAATCAGAGGGCGAAGCAAGGATGCATCACAAGTCCCTGCAGCATAACTATGTCCCATGTTTGCTTAGGGTTGCCAGGTCCCTCCAGGCAACTGGCGGGGGAGGGGGGACTAATCAGGAGCAGCAGGGAGGCCCATCAGATGTACAGCGATGTGTCTATGTCACTGCCCACATGACCTAGAAGTGATATCATCACATTCAGGATGTTGGGGTGGCGGTCAGATATTTGGGCAAAAACTCTATGGTAAATTTAGCTTCTACCATACAGTTTTTGCCCAAATGCCACAGTGTCTCCTCAACATCCTTGATGTGATGATTCTGGGTCACGTGGGCAGTGACGCAGACACATTGCTGCACGTCGGATGGGTCTCCCTCTTTTTCAGGGAAAGTTCCCCCCTGCTGGCCAGCTGATTGGTGGTGGGGAGGTGGGGCCTGTCAATGGGGGACCCCCACCTTCACTGGGGGGTCTGGCAACCTACGTTTGTTTCATGCTGCAGGGAGCCACAATTAGCTTCCTGCTGCCCAGACAGTCACATGGTGAAAGAAATTTATATTTGCACTGCAATTATTACAGGAAGAACTCACAAGAAAAAAAACAAAACATTGGACTCCTGTTGCTTGTTGGCTGGGAAGAAGTGGATAAAAGAGAGCGGAAGTGAGAGGCTAAAGAGGAAGATGCTCTGTGGCTTGGACAGGGAGCCCCAAGCTCCTGAGGAGAAAATAACTGAGTGTAATAAAGCTGTTGCTGAGAGTTAAGCTTAGGATGAACCTTGTCTTGTCCCATCCGCTTCATGCAGACTTTGCCAACATGTATGCGACATCCCCCAACTTTTGAGCCTGAGTTTGCTTTGAACTTATGGGGGCTTTCCAAGATTGTGAGACTAGTGCTGTCTGACAAAGCCCATTGTTCTCAGAATGAAAGATCTGTGGCCTTGTGAAAGGCCACAGCCAGCCTTCCTTGCTAGGAGGGATTGCCAAGAAATGAATGGAAAACCAGTGGCTTCATAAGCAATGCCTCTTTCTACCTCTCTGTCACCAAGTCCAGGTGTCTGTGCATTTCAATAATTGAATGGTTGGTGTCAAGAACATCTAAATCAAGTAGAAAAAGAAATAATTTTAAAACTGATGTCTGCTTATAACGAACCCCTTGCTCTTAAGTCGAGATGTATATAAGTGCCGTCAAACTGTACGTGACTTATGATGACCCCATCAGAGGGCTTTCAAGGCAAGTGAGAAGCAGAGGTGGTTTGCCATTGCCTTCATCTGCAAAGTCTTCCTTGGTGGTCTCCCATCTATGTACCTACCTTGTTTAGCTTCTGAGTTCTTACAAGATCAGGCTGTACCATGCCACCTTCCCGCTCTTGCTGAAGTAAATACCTTTTAAAATGTTCCCTTACCCTTTTCAAGTACCTTATTGCAGTTACAATCACGGGCTGGATATCGTGGGGGGGAGGCATGGCTAATTGCCCCGGCGCAGTTTGATCAGCGATTACGCGATCAGACGCGCCGGCGGCACACCATGGGTCCTTCCCTCGGCACCGGCGGGTAAACGAGGGACCGGAGGGGCAGTGAAGGGTGCCGGCGCAATCACACCACGGGCGTCTGGAGGCAGCCCATGGCAAACGTTTACTAGTACCTTGGAGGTACTAGTTTTTTAACGCGCATTGTCGGCGGTAAGCCATGGGTGTGCTCCACTTCCCAGATGTTGGGGTGTGATCGTGCCCGGATAATCCGCCCACCATCCGTGCCTCTCCCGCAGCAACTTTGCTGTGTGACCGGGGCCTTTGAAGATCTAGGGGGACTTTTTCACTGTCACATAGGATGATAAGGATAATAGTGATCTTGAAATACCTACTCTGAACCGGGTGAATCCCAAGTGGCCACAGACAGGTAGTGACTGGAATATTATCATGGAAGGCCAGGGCACTGTAGAAGCTACTGATTTTTCAGAGAAACGGAAATTCCCCTATTCTAAAGAAACACATCCTTCAATGACAGCTGTCAAGTCACAACAATTCAAAGCCTATATTTCTGAAAATAAAGAACTTTGGCTGAGTGACTCAGTGCTCCAGACGGGGTGGTGACAGCCCTTCAAAGCCTCCTGTCAGGGCAGAAGAATTTTTTTAAAAAACCTTACCAGTGCCACAAGTGTGATGACGTCACTTCCAGGGAAAACCTGGAAGTGACATCAGTTGCTCCAGGAACTGCCAGAAACTCTGCAGTTTATCATAGCATTTCTGGCAATTCCCAGAGCTTTCCCCGGAAGTGATGTCACTGTCGAACAACATGGCTTGGCAACTCCAGGTGGTGCACACTCTGGTCTCGCCTTAGCTGTGACCCTAGGTGTGTGGGCACCAATTCTGACAACTACCTTACCTGTTTGAGATAAAAGTGGTGTATAAGGGACTTTCGGTTCTATTGCACTCATTGGTGGAGGTAGCAAGGGATTGGCAAAACTGCGGAGCGGATGTGTAGGTCGGACACATGCGGTTGGAATTGTCCTGCTGGGCGCATCCTCGCTGGTGGGATGTTCGGGCTGGGTCTGTGGTAACATGGTTGTCTGCTGAGGGGCTGGTGCTTCGTTCACGGCTGCGAGAGAATCAGAGGGAAGGAAAGGTGTCGGTAAGTCATAAGGACATAAGAAGAACCATGCTGGATCAGAACAATGGTCCATGCAGTCCAACATCCTGTCTCACACAGTGGCCAAGCAGTTCCTTCGAAGGGCCAACCACAGGACATAGAGGCTGAGACCTTAGTTAGAACATCAGAAGAGGCCTGCTGGATCAGACCAGTGGTCCATCTAGTCCAGCATCCTGCCTCACACAGTGGCCAACCAGTTCCTCTGGATGACCAACAACAAGGCATAGAGGCTGAGGCCTTCATAAGAACATAAGAAGAGCCCTGCTGGATCAGACCAGTGGTCCATCTAGCCCAGCATCCTGTCTCACGCAGTGGCCAACCAGTTCCTCTGGATGACCAACAACAGGGCATAGAGGACCAGGCTTTCCTAAGAACATCAGAAGAGCCCTGCTGGATCAGACTAGTCGTCCATCTACTCCAGCATCCCATCTCACACCATGGGCAACCAGTTCCTTTGGATGGCCAACAAGAGGGCAGAGAGGCTGAGGCCTTCCCCTGATGTCGCTTCCAGGCTCTGGGATTCAGAGGTTTAGTGCCTCTGGATGTGGAGGTACCCCTCAGCCACATGAGTTTTAAGAAAACATGCATTTTTAAAAAAAATATATCCTGCATAGCCCTTCTTCTGTTCCTTGCAACTTAATAAGGAACAGGAAATCACATTAAGAGATATGGGTCATATAGTTCCTGTAACCCACCTTGAGGCCCAGGGATAATATCAGATACTACACAAAATACTGAAAATACTGAAAAACAACAAATCATCACGAACATCCTGCAATTAACGCTTCTTAGGAATAGAAGGTGACATCTACAGCTGGAGAAATTCTTAGCATTATAAGGGGTGCGGATGTGTAGAAGGTTGACCAGTGCATTTCAAAGGGTCCCCTAGAACAGAACACAATATTCTTCTGTGTACTACAATACACCTCTGTGCCTGGAGATATAATTTTCATTACCCTTTAGTAATATTCTCAGTGGACACTGGAGCAGGTTTTGACCCACAATGCAATTGCTTTCTTGTTTGCAGTGCCTTACTCATCACCACTGGAATTAATGGCAACCCTTCATCTACATGGGAGCAAGTCAAGGGGTGAATTTTGGTAGAACGGTGGCAGGGGGACAAACCCTGCTCTTGATCACACTGTGTCAAAGGAAAGGTGGATTCCCCCCGCCCTGCTGTGTTCTGGACTGCAGCCAGCACTCTTTGCCCCTTAAAACTCAACTGGCGATATTTGAGAATCAAGCCAGCCCCAATCAAGATAGCTGACCTCTTTCTTTATTGTGTGTGTAAAGTGTTGTCAAGTTACAGCTGACTTGTGGTGACCCCATAGGGCTTTCAAGGCAAGTGATTAAGCAGAGGTGGTTTGCCATTGCCTGCCTCTACAGAGTCTTCCTTGGGAGGTCTCCCTTCCAAGCACCAATGCTGCTTAGCTTCCAAATCTAAGGAGATTGGGCTATACTATCCCATTCCATATCCTTCTTCCTTTATACTAGAGACTTATCACTAGAGCGAGATGGCACCCAGGAACTGGGGGAGGGGGAGGGTGATATTTGGTTTTGGTAGCTATTTCTGAACTAGGGTTGCCAAGTGGGACTTACCCTTCTGGCAGGGGACTCCAGTTCGGCTCCCGGCGTGCTGCATGCACGTCACAGGGAAGTGACGTCATGACACCGGGCATGCTGGGGAAACCATAGAGTTTTCCCTTGTATGGCCGTCGCCCCGCCCCCAGCGTGCCCGGCGTCATAACGTCACTTCCCTGTGACGTGCATGCTGGGGCCCGATTCCCTGGCATTGGGGAATGGGCCTCTGGGGCGGGGGGGTTTCCGCCCCCCCCCGGAGGGATTTGGCAGCCCTATTGTGCTTCTTAACTTTTTGCAGTAGAAGCTGGGCCTTCAAAATAAATATTTGTTAAAAAATCAGCACAAGGCTACACACACAACAACCCTATCGCTGTTGCAGTAAGCTGCTTTTAATGAGACCTTTACGGCTTGGCTTTGGCCCATTCATTCCCGGCTGTAGGAACTGAAAACTGAAATTTGCTGCACTGCCCACCTGAACCGTTCTTAACTGGTTTTACCGTATTAATTTAATGTCTGATATTTATTAACTGAATTATTTTAAGATTGTATTGGAATTTATTGTTCTGATCTGCCGTGAGCCTGCTCAAGGGAAGGGCAGGATATAAATCGAAATAGTAAAAATAAAATAAAACAGCCATTCACAAGGAGGACAGAGGCACGATTTATTACAGGGGGGATGCATGGTATACAGCTTTAAGACATTATGGTAACTGGATCTGATGAGGGCTTTTGACAAAGAGCCTGCTTAATTAATTCCTGCTTAAGCTACCACCAAGTCCATTTGTCCTCCAGACAGCTGTAATATTTGGTTTCCCAGAGCTGTCAATGCCTGCTTTATTATCCCGTGTCCTGAGTCAATTCTTCTGTGATTTGAATCCGCCACATCAACCCGGCACATATAAATTGAGGCTATTCCATCATCTGGAGCTTTGTTTAGGGAAGAGGATCCAGGAAGGCAGCTCCTTCCAGCCTGCAAAAGAATGCCCAATACTACAACAGGCACATGAACCCAATGGGCACCTCTACCCTAAAGTAGGGATGATTTTTTGAATTTCTCACCCGCGCTGACTGAAAAATCCTTGTTCCGATTCGGTTTCTTCCCTGTGATAATTGAACTCATGATTCGTTTCAAAGTGCTGGTTCTTACCTTTAAAGCCCTGAATGGCCAGGGTCCAGCCTACCTCAAGGACCGCCTCTTCCCGTATGTTCCCCCAAGAGCGCTGTGATCGGGGAGTCTCGACCTCCTTGAGGTTCCGGGGCCCCGAGACATCAAGCTTGTCCTAACCGAGGCCAGGGCGTTTTCGGTGGCAGCTCCTACCTGGTGGAATGAGCTCCCGGTGGAGATCCGGGCCCTGCGGGACCTTGTACAGTTCCGCAGGGCCTGCAAGACGGAGCTCTTCCACCAGGCTTTTGAGTAGGAGCCGCCGCCGTCACTATACCACCATTGTGACTCGACCCTACCATCCAACTTATCTGGGAGGGGGGTAGATGCCGCCCTGATGAGGAACATCACTCCTGGCGCTCACGCTACTACAACACCGGCCGCCAATGAGGGACACTGTGCATCTTGGGAAATTTAGTGAACTGTAGAGCACCATTTTAGCTTGTATGTATTTAATGTTTTAATGAATCTATATTTTATTCCGGCATCGCCGCTTGTTCGCCGCCCTGGGCCGCTTGGGTAGGGCGGGATATAAACCCCAAGTAAATAAATAAATAAATAATAATAATAAAAATCTTCCTACTCTTTTTTGAGAGTGACCATGCTGGTCTGCAGCAAAAGAGTGAGCTTTGAGTCCAGTAGCACCTTAGAGACCAACAAGATTTTCGGGGTATAAGATTCAAGGGTCTAAGCTCCCTGTGACAGGTATCTGACAATGGATGATTTGACCCTTGAGGGACCTTTGACTGAGTCACAGCCCCTCCCCAATCATGTCCACTGTATACATAAACTGCATATGAAAACTTGCACAGCCGGCACACACAATACACAAGGAAAAGCGACTGAACTGAACTGAAACCACTGATCAATATATAAACGGATGTTTAAAAAGAGGCAAAGAATATTAGCCCATCCCTACCTCCAACACAAATCATGAGACATTTACTTAGAGTGATAGTTGAACATATGCACTCGAAACAAAACAAAACCCCCAAAGCTGATTTGCCCGTGAATTTACATGCCACCATTTTCACTAGAACTCCACTTTGTACTAGAGCGCCAAACTGTTTCTGGCTCAATAAATTCTAGGAGAATCCACAGTTCAGAGACAGAGCTTGAGCTTTGCATGCATGAAGTCCCAGATACACTTCCGGATTTCTTCAGTTAAAAGATCCCGGTAAGTCATGGTTGAGGTCTTGGAAAGCTGGTGGTGGTCAGAACACAGCACAGGCCGCATCAACACGTGATCCGATGCCATAGCAAGGCTGTTCCTTATATGCTCCTTTCATAGTGTTGCCAATCTCCAGGTGGTGCCTGGAAACCTCCTGCTTTTACGACTGATTTCCAGACTACCGAGGTCAGAAGATGGCTGCTTTTGGAGGGTGGACTCTATAGCATTTTACCATGCTGTGGTCCCTCCCCTCCACAAGCCCCACCCACCCCAGGCTCCACTCCTCAAATCTCCAGGGATTTCCCTGTCTAGGTGTGGCAACCTCACCCTTTCACTTAGCAGCAGCCTGTGCGTTCAATGGCAGCAGTAAAAAACGAAGAACATGTTAGTTTTCTGTCCCCCGTATACCGCAATTGGCCTCTTTGGACTGCTGCCATCATATTTAGGATGAATGTGGAAGTATAAAGATAGATAAGCCAACTGGAAGAGGTTGCTGCACACAGCATAATTCCCGTTTTTCTCCCGCCCTGTGTTTTGCATCCCGGCTAGCAATTACGGGTCAATTCTCACAGCTTAGGAACGTCCAAGCGAGTGTCGTCTTAAGCACACTGCCGAAGTGTGGCAGCCATACCTTCAGCCAGCCACCTGGAGAGAAGCGCAAGTTCAGTTCAATTTTCATGTCCATTTGTTGCTTGGTTACAACTCTGGCAAGGGCAAGGACTGTGTCAAATTATTGCTCCCTCACATTTATTCACATCAGCGGGCTTCATTCGCCCAAAGAGGAAAAAGTTAAATGCTCGGGGCCTGTACCTAAGGTACCAGTGCCGTAGGAGCGTCACGACTTGATAATGAGCCATCATTTCAGCCGACAGACCACTATTTATAGCGGGACTATTAAACGCAACAACTTTTATTGCAGATAGGACAGTGATAGAAAATATGAGGCCATAAAAATGTCACAGTATAGTTATAACATAACAGATCAATATCAGAGCTGGGCAAAACTCCCTATGTTCCAATTTGGAATTAATCGGG